AGTATACACTGAAATACAGGTAGGAACTAGGAACAGCGTTTCGTCTCTGCTATGGAAAAGTACATATAGCACAAATTTGTACTATAGCCTATGTCGAATTTATATTAAATTTCAGTTGATTCCCGATAATTAGATGCAAGTCAAAAACTATTAAACGTGGACTTGGTCCGGTCTTAACCTGACGGATTAAAACTATCCCTGTGCAAAGAAACGTGTTTAGACGACGATCGACCGGGAACGGTGTGGATCGAGCTGCATTTCAAACGAATCCAGCGATTTGAACGAGGATCATGAGAAGCCTGGAGAGACAGGGAAGAGAGGTAGAGAGAAAGGGGGGGGGGTTGCTTGTGCAAATTTGCTTTCGACCTCGTTCCGGGGATCAGGAAACCACCTTCCTTGCGCTGGTTGCTCTCCAGCCAACTGCTCGAAACCTCTTGCCCTCGACGATATTCGAGTAACGCGCTTCGCCCGATCGATCGATCATTGCCAGATTCGGCTGCGAACTGCGAAGTCGTCGAGGCGACTACTCTCAGAGAGCCGAGAATCGGGTCGAATTACGGCTTATCAGCCGAACCGTGTTACGTAAATGTAATTAAACGAAAAATCGAGGGACTTCGCGATATAACTCGATTTACCGGAAACGATCAAACCTCGCGTGCCCTGAACCGTTCGATCGAAGCTAGAGAATCAGTGGAAGGTGCAAAAAAATAATTCACACATTTAGAAACGAGATAGTTTCATCCTTTTCACTCGATTTATCATGACACACGAGTTTTATGACAAATTTGTATTGTCATCATGAATAGAATAGATCTAAATGCCGATGACAAACGTTTAACCGGAATACAGGCAACTGACGGACACGGTTTACTGTTTTGATCCCCGAACAAACATGACCAGCAGTGTTTCATCTTCGAAATAGACACGAAAGCCGTTTTGCGCTGGATCTCGAACACATCCTGTAACGAAGGCCGAAGGCTAATGTTGACCCAAAGCCACCTACGAAGCGGGCCGTGAGCCGGACGCGGACGTCCGTCTGTGTGACTGTCGCAAACACGTACCCTCGATCTCAAGATCGGCTTCCAAGCGTGACAGTTAGTGTTTCAATTATTCCGTGCGTGGAGTTTTTTTCTCAACCAGCTTCTTGTATGATCAAGCACCTCGAATCAGCGTTTCTACTAAAGCGAGCGACCAGTGAACGAACTGTAAGCTCTCTAGGTTGGTCGTGACGCGTGATCAACTTCGAGGAGAATTGACTCTGACAGATTTCAGTCTGCAAGCATCGATCTCGATGCTAATCTTGTGGTGACGTGTTTCAACGAAGACACGTGTCACATCGCGATTCGGTATGGTGAATACAATGAAAAGAAGGAAATCCAGTTCGACTGAAAGAATCACATAAATGTGCCAGACCGACCCAGAGAACAATGTTATTTTCACTCTCTCGCTTTCTCTCTTTTGTTTCTGTGTTACAACGGACGAAGAATGTTTGTAAAGAATTCTAGTTCGAAGTGGCTATCGTTTTGAGGTATTATGTACATATATATTTAGCCGATAACGATCAAACGTAGCTGGAAATAATATAATAATTAAAAGACGTGAACCAGCGCGCCGGAAATAGTCCCACGAACGAACGAGGTCTTAGCCAGTTTCTCATATTAATGTACTCTTGAAATTCTCTTGAAGGGCTCGCAAGTGTGAGCGGACTACTTCCGGCCGGCCGGCCGCGCGGCGTTCAACGTTCATCCGCCGTTCGAGATAAGAAATTGAATCGTGAATGCAGGCTCACCGTTCTTCCGGCCGGCTGGCCATTGTTCTTTCATCGAGTAGAAGAGGAGGACGGTGGTGGTGGTTGATTGGTTGGTTGGTGGTGGTGGTTTGTTAAAGGTGGTTTCGTTATTTCTTTTGTTTTTTGTTCGTAACGTAACGGATTTGGTGATCGTGACTGGTCTCGGATACGGCGATCGACTCAAGCGGTCTCCGATACCGGAAGCGGTGGCTGCCCACCGGAAGTAGTCATTGCAGGCGCGGTGTTGGTTGTGGTGGTGGTTGGGACCGGAAGTGGCTGTAGGGCCTGCATGTCACAGGTGTGGGAACCGCGCTTCTTTAGGTCCTGGAACAATTCGTATTTCGAATATGTTGCAATTTAGATTCTTCGTCCATCTATTTATTTATCTTCTTCCTTTCTCTCTCTCTCTCTCTCTCTCTCTCTCTCTCTCTCTCTCTCTCTTGCTCTCCCACTCATTTTCTCTATGTTTCATTTCTTTCTTTTCTTCCATACGCCTCTTCCATTCTCTCTCACTCGAGCACCAATCCATGCACGCCTCTCTCTCTCTCTCGATCGCTCGTTCACATCGTTGTTCTCATTGTGCCTACGTTTCTAAGGCAACCATAAAAGTACACAATTTTAAAAGCATGTTGCACTACACTCTACGTTCTCTCTCTCTCCCTCCCCCATCCCCATCTCCTTCTCTCTTTCTCTCTCTCTCTCTTTCTCTGTATCATGTTCATCCGCTTGTAATTTTCTGCCTGCGTATTCTCCTCGAGGACCAGCGATCCCCTTTATCTCTCAGCTTTCGCTCTTTAGAATGCCTCGAAACGAGAAGGCAAGTACCGTCGCTTTAAACAACCCGACAAGCTACCGTTCGTTGATCACTCTCGAATGAAATGAAATATACATGAGAGATGCGATCACCTCGTGGCATCGATTTCATTTTTGTAAAGATATAGAACAGCAAGAGAGTCTGATAAGACGGGGAAAAAAAAATAGAAACGTAATAAAAGAAAGAGATGCCACGGAGGTCGGATTCCGGCCGTTCCGTAAGATCGAGTCAGATACGTCGCGGAGCTGCTGAGAGCCGTCGCTTTGAGAACGAGCGTAGAGAGAATGTCGAGAGGAAATGAGTGGAGCAGAGAATGCGAGAATGTGAAAGAGAGATCGCAAGACAATTCGGGAACAGGGGAGCAGAGAGATTCATGCGAGATAAAAGTGTAACAGCGAGATTAACAACGAGAGACAGCGGGGACCGTCACGGGGGAGCGTGAGAGAAGATCGGGAAAAGCGGAACAACGGAGGAGCTACCATCACATAGAGACACGATCTAGCAAGAGCAACGGTGACAGTGTGCGTGCTTCATATCGAAACAGTTGGAACGGCACAGCGATGAGTGTGTACGGACAACGAGAACAAGAAAAACGGTTATAGAAGTGAAATGAGAAACGAACAGAAACAAAACGAAAGGGTGACACAGCGGTAAATAAGTGGCAGTGGGTGTGTGACGATGTGCGACGGGTGAGGACGGAAGTCGGTGTATAGACGGTGATCGATTTAAAAGAGAAACATGCCTGGGTGCAATATAGATAAGACTGATCGTCTCGACAAGCCATTGGTTGCGATAATAACGCTGCTTATACGTGATTCGTTTCGCAAGCACGGTCAATTGGTTACGAACGACGCGACGCAACGCGTATTCCGTTCCGCAACGAATCCGACGTTCTTGGAAACGAGACGCGTAATTATCAACTGATTCGAATCTTCCCTCTCCGGATCTACTCACGTGCTGTGTGTAATCTCTTTTCCTTGCTTCGTAAAGCGCAACCGGTGCCAAATCGAATTGTTGCTTCAGAAACAATAATGCATCCACGATGCAGTGCATTGTACTTATACAAGCGCATTCGAGATCGCTCTGCGGGTATACGTATGGTACATACTGATCGAAGCTTCGTCACAGCGTTCGGTGCGTAGAGTCGGGTTTACGCATTTTCTCAGGTACATGTGTTAAATCATTAGTAAAAGCAGTTGTCTCTGTAACTACCGGCGAAGCTTGCGATGGATGGGATCGCTTTAACTCTCCTTTTCACTGATCAAAGCTCCTCGTCGATCAACTCGAATTGCATTGACAATAGTTAACTCCCCGCTACGCAACGATAATAATAATTATCCAATTCCTATTTAAGTGTACGTAGATGAGTTGAACGTAAACGGCCTCTCCCGTGACTGGATAAAAACGGGAACAAGTGAGAAGGATTGACGCATTGGATTTCCTAAGGAAAATTCGCGAACTGCACCCGAGCACTGCAATGCGGTTAGCTGCACCGTTCGTTCGTTCGTTCGTGCGATCGTTGACGTCTTCCTCGACGAGCGTCGTTAATCCCTTTCAGCGGACGCGACATGCTAGTAGTTCTCGCTCTTCCTATCGGAGCACGGCGTTTCTGCTAGACGCGTATATTCATCGGTACGAGATTCTTAAGAAATCTCACCCGATTCTCACCGACGGAATGGAACGGAAATTCGTCGGATGGGACCATTCGTTTCGAGCTCAAATTATTATCAAAATTCATTTGAGCTCAAAGCACGTAGACAAAGCTCGTTCGCGTGAACTTCGCGTGACACACTTCTTGTTCAGCGGTCTCGTAGAATTTCAACAGTAATAAACGGGCGGGAATGTACAAGATTATGAGGAAATCGTAGGACGGTAGTGGAGGATAGCTGACGTTAGTGGCAGTTTAGGAATTTCTGTTTGATGTTCCGTGACGAGAAACTTCATGGAAACGATCGGTGGTTTACAAAGGGTCACGTGATGCACCTCGTTACGCTAACGACACTCTGATTAGCGAGCCCGGCTTGACGTGAAATTTAATATACAGCCGTGGCTCCCACGCGAGCACTGTTATAACTAATCGTCGAATCAGAATTATTGATGTACATTACTATCACAATCTATAAATTATATGTACATCTGATTTCATCTACGATTATATATATTCAGTTGGTTATTTATAATTTTTTATAGAACAATAATATAGATCCTTTCCATGAATCTATAAAATACGAAAATAAAAAACCACGGATGAATGAGGAGAATGTCTATTATTTTAGCAAATGGAAGATACAAATTCTTCACGTGGACGAGCTATTATCATGTTAATTTTTTCATCAGCGACGCATCAGTTTCAATGAATGATCGATCTCACCGGCTCTCGCGACTCGTAATGGAAAAGATATGAATGGAGAACAGAGCGCGTATTGTTCGCGCCTATGTGGATTCTTAAACTGATAGAATTGATACGTGTAACGCGATATGACAGCTGCGCAAAATTGAAATACAACGAAATATGAAACATTCGATTCGAAGGATCTGACAATAAAAAAACATCATCGACCGAAATAAATAAATTATATACTTTTAGAGAAAATGTTATTTGTAACGAAGTTGACAAACGAATTTTTTTTTACTGATTCGCTTCCAGCGCAGGATCGGAGGACCGAAAGATATTCGTCGAAGCTGTCACGTAGCTGCATGGGATGCGTACGTTCGCCGAGTCGCGTGGCATTAGCGGGATACGTACAAGGAAAACGCATTAGGGGAGGACAGCAGGGAGGGATCGGCCGCGAATCCTCGGCGACGTCTTCCGCGTGCTAACCAGGGGTGGTAAGTACATTAATCATCGTCATCGTTGCCGCGCGGCGGAACGAGAAACTAGACGCTTATTAAAGTTGCCCAAGGCCATTAGTCGCGACGCGCGCGCTGCTGCGAGAACTCTAAAGGAGGCGAAACAAGATCGTAAAATAAATCACGGGACCGGAAGGTTCTTACTAAAGATGATACCTATGTAATTTCAACTTTTTCTAACGTTAAATAAGTACACAGCGCTTTGTCCGGATGCGGAAAGAATGAATGGAGCAAATAATGGGAGCAGCGAAGAAGCATACAAGTACCTTAGATTAAAGTTATTATAGGATGCGTATTTGGATGTATATACTATAACGTCCGAACACTGCAATTATACTCTATAAAACTCTGTACACAGTGTCCCAGAAAAAGTGTTAGAACCGAAGAGAGATGAGAACACGTGTAAGACCCGCGCTGAGCCACGGCTGAGCGTCACGATCCGAACCAATCTATCCGCGGCTGAAGACGGGATCTACACGTACTCAATTGGTCAATGTTTTTCGTTAATAATTCAAGAACCATGCTCCACTTTGCATTTTGCCAAAAAAAATTGTTGTTCAGAAACACCTACAGAATCACCCGTTTCCGGCTTTAACACTTTTTCTGGGACACGCTGTATGTATACGTACTACTATTATCCGAACACGCATACAATATAATTGTAGTCTTACTGTTAAACGCATAGATCGAAAGCCAGACAAATCTCAGCCGCAACGCAACCATGGAATTCGAATAGACATCATGCCACGGAAGGTTTCGATTTCATGATGAAAAGTATAAGTAAATATCCCCGAGGGGACTGAAACGTAAAAAGAAAAGATCGTGGATCCCGTACAGCTGCGAAGAAAAATAATGGAGAATACGTCGGTGATAAAAGAATGATAAGAGGGAAAACCGATAGACGGTAGAAATGTTTGAGAGATACGACGTACGGGGGAGAAATAGGAGGAATTGTGTCGCGATAGGGAAGTAAGCAAGGGTGGTACGTGTTCCTGAGGAAAAGCAGACACCCAGAAGCCAATCCAGGGATCAGCCACGCGCGACATTATATGATATCTGGACCACCAAGGGGATACATGGGGAGGCCTTAGTGTCCTTCGTCCCGAGCCTTCCCTTGAAGGACAAGAAAAGCTACCTCGTGTATAAAATATATATATATGTATATACGTGTTTGTATATATATATATATGTATATTTTTGATATACGTCGTGGAAGAACTACACGTGTGCGCGAGCCAACGAATCCACTGGAGATCCACTACTCGATCATGAGATCCAAAAGGGGTAATAGATTTTAACTTTGAAAATTCTAATCTCTCTTAGGACAATCAAATTTCACAAGCACTTGTGGATAATTGAAAAGTGTAGGAATATTCATTTAGAGAACATTTTCCTGTTAGACTCGGGCAACGTCGAAACGTGAACGAAGTACGTGTGGATCGCGAGGGATCGCGCGTGTCACGCGCGCGCGAAAGCAATGAAACAGTAAGTAAATATATACGTAACATAGTATGTAAGATACATCGATTATCATATATCATCGTAATATCCAAAACGGTTTCCAGGTAACACGGTTTTCTTTACCTTTTTCCGCACTTGTATACGGTCTCCATATACAAGGACCACTCTATCCTTGCTCTCGTTCGAAGTTAGCTGATAAGACAAGCTCTAAAACGTGGACGTTGGCGATAGTTTTACAGTTTTCAGCAGCCCATTATCGTTCGGAACACACGCCGCGCGGTATGAATATTATGTTTATATTTTATTGTCATCGTGCGTTCACGTGCGTCGATCACGATATTTCCCATCGTCGTTGTCGTGCATTCCCGTTCATCGTTTTTCATTCGTTTCGTTTTATCCGTCGTCCACGAGATTCCACCGTGAAAGAGAGGGAAAAGAAGAGAGAGAGTGCACGAGAGACACATCCGGTATCGGGTTCATTATGAATTTCGCACGGTTTCACGTGCGACGAATTTTTCGTTCGACATTCGTATATACATGTATATATATATATTTTTTTTCCATTGTTTCCCCGTTCGTTATATTCGTGGTGTTTTCGTTGACGCGTGCAGTAGATCGGTGTTCGTTAAAAAATTCGTTTCGTTCATCGTGGCGAACGAGCAGATGGGTGAACGGAGGGGATGCGAGGAGAAAATATATAGATGCACCGATTGACGCGCATCGAACGGTATGATGATTCGTTTGTTAGAATGTGATGATGGCCGGGCAGAGATGACGATGAGGTCCGCGATGACGATGACGATGATGCGACGGGCGGACGAGGTGCGACGTCATCGTGGGTGTCCAGCGTTCCACGTGGATGGCGCGACGGTGGTCGGTCGTCGACGAACAGGTGGCCCACGGAAATTAGGAAATACAACAATTTCATTGATTTACATATCTGTGTGTACTCTGTAACCACTGTGTGTGTCTTGTGTGAATCGTTTAATTATTAATATTATTATTATTATTATTATTATTATTATTATTGTTATTATTATTATTATTATTATTATTTTCTGGTGTTTTTCTCCGTGGCCATCGTCTACTCTTGTAAAACGATCTTCGGAACGAACCATGTCTCGTTTAACATTATTGTCCGAGCAAAATATTGTTCTCTTCCCGAGATCATGTCCTCGGCGTGTCGAGCGACTCGAAAATCTGTATCACGTAAAATGTATGGTATATGTCGTGTTACCTTCCTCTTTAAAAACGCTCTCGATTGGCTCGGCCCTTCGAACCGGATTTCAATACTCGTTACTCGTGTATTATTAATCGTCGTCACTCTAATTTTCATGCTTTCTCGACATGGTCTCGCATTATTTTTCATTCACGATCGTTAAACTTATTCTGCTCTAGTATTCTCTACTATCGTATCGCTTTATTCTTTGTGCTTGTTTCGTTTTACGTTCTCGTTCTATTGGCTCGGTCTTAAACGGGTCTCTAGATCTGTGGTGGTAGCAGTAGTAGTAGTAGCAGTAGTAGCAGTAGTAGTTTAGCGTGCTTTACTGGGGGACTGAGTAAGTAAACACGTCAGCCCGTTCAGAACGAGGCCTCGACGAGGTAAGTCCCGTCCATCGCAGCCCCGGTCTGCCCACCTTGGGCGCCCGATACTTGGGCCCTTGTCGCCGGGATGTACTGACTGTACGCCTGCTGAAATCCACACCACAAGCACACACTACATTGTTGCACGCTAAGCTCACCTACGCTAAGATCAAGTTCTTTCTACGTGGCTCTTCTACGGTCATTTTATTTCTACGCGCGGACAGTCGGCGATCCTTCACACTTTCGCGAGAGAGAGGACGACACATGTATAATCGCACACAGACGCTTTAAAACGTGCCGGTCGGTCCCAGTCGTCGGTTACCAGCGACCACTCCGGCTCTCTCAGGAACGCGGATCACCGAATCTACAGACGTCTACGCTAAATCCTGATACATCTTGGCTCAATGAGAGAATCAACGTTTCCACGTGGACGCGCGTCGCTGTTTCGGACGCTCCAGCGCTCGAAGAGTGACGAACAACGGGGTTTGGCGTTTTCCTACTCGCGCAACTCGTCTGCCGATGCACGTGATAACTCTCGTCTAGCTCGGTAATTTTATCGACAGCGTGTCGTATTCGCTGTCGTCGTCCAAACGAGTCTCGTTTCGTTTCTCTCTTTAACATTGCTATGTACATCGTATGTGTCAACCGCCTAAGCAACTTCCTATCTACTGATCCGCGTGACTGTGTCTAGACTGAATAAAAATGAGTTCAAGGGATCATGTTCATTCTCTCACTTGATGTCAATGTGGTCTTACCATTTTAATTATATGAACTAATTATATTTGTCATATATTTTTTTGGTACTTTCAAGATTTTTTGCATACTTTTATATCGCAAGGTTGAGATTTGTATTTACCTCATTTTTTTTCATGCTTCAATTCTATATCCTAATCAGTAACGCGGATCCTATCTTGACCGATGATCAAGTATGTATTAACTTATTCTTGTCGATCGGTCCTGAACGACGCTACAACGTGGACTGAATTTCGCGTAACGATTAAAATTTAATCATTTCAGTTAATTAAATGTACGGACACGTCCCGAATCCCCAAACGTTTTAAACGCATCTGCGAACATTAAATACGAATTTCCAGAAACAGCGTCACGTAGCATACAGATAAAAAATCAGCACGAAAGAAAGTTTATATCCGATAGAATTCAGACTTCCTTTTATTGGAATAATCGAAACAATCGAGAGGTTTGACTTGAACCGGGTAAGTCGTTTTTAATCTGGAAGGCGCACGTGGGGCAAGTGATTTATCATTGGCTGACTTTTATTTATGCTGACTCGGAGAGGCACATTTATAATGTTACGATAACGCGTTTTACTGAAAGAAAACAGAGTAACTAGGAGCGGTTAACTCGCGATCGATTGAGGAATGTTAACGAGTGCCATCATGAGGCACGCGGATAACATTCCTATCATGCTCTGTCTCGTCTTTGAGAAGTCGCATCTTCGAGCGTCCGCTAATTAATTGTTCGCTGGGTTCAGCGGCACTCGTTCTGCGAGGACCACTGGAAACAAGTGTAATCGAGGAACTTCGGCGTGGGGGAGGGGGAGAGAGCGAAACGAACTTCACAGTTCCATCCCCTTCCCCTCACGGGCTGTCCTCGTTAAAAAGAATAAAAAGGGCGGGGTTGGGGGGTGGTTCCGACGGGGAAGAATGCTTGAACGCTCGAGCACGAGTCTGAAAATCGTGAAGAAGGTTCGCATTCAAACAGTCCAAGAAACATCGGAGTATAATATAACATGTGTGACATATGCGAGTGGCGTACAAGTGTAGATCTGAGGATAAGTGCCAAGAGAACGAGAAGAGTATAGTATATATATATAATTCGATGGTAGCAACATGTCCCAAAAAAGTAATGCTGTAACGAGCTAAGAGGATTTCGTATAATATAAGAAGAGTATCGAGGGTAGCAATTGATAAACAAGAAGCAAAACAAGTAACATGAGTTGACAAGTTCAAGTTCCTGTTTTCGGGGCTTACCTTTCTCAGTCGGAAGAGAACTGTTTCTACGGGACGAACCACAGACAACAGGTGCCAATGTGTTTTTATGTTACAAAATGTACAGACATGTATTTACATCGCATCGTACGATTTAGTATAAGGGAAGTTTTAATTACGGGAAGAACTTTCACCGCGGACTCGTCGTTCATTGTACCGTTTTTTAAACAATCGATAAAACAATTATGCATGCGCTGCATTAAGGTTGTATGGACCCTTACATAAAAACAATGACAAAGCATTGAAATTTTAACAGTTACTAGATATTACATTAATAAAACACTGTAC